GAAAACAGACAGGGGGAAGTTAAGAATAGCATAGTAGATGGAGAAGCCAAAGAACTTATATGTACGACCCATGGACATGAACTAAGGGCGAGAGGGGAATGCTGGTGGGAGGAGAGGTGCACAGCAGAGGTGAATAAAGGGGAGGGAAAAAAATGGGACAACTCTAATAGCATAATAAAATATACTTTAAAACAAAAAAAATGCAGCAATACTTTCATGCTGATTTATAAATCGCTTTTACCTCTAGTATAAAAGTTAAAAAGCAGTAATAATAAAAATAATTATGGCTATAATAATTTGTAAATGTATGTAGACTATAAAGCAATGTAAAGTATAAAATCAATGGCATATAATGTGAAAAAAGGAGAAGTAAAATTGTAGTTTCCCTATGTGACTAAAGGTAAGTTATTATTACCTTAAAATAGACTGTTATGATACAAATTTTTATGAGAGCCTCATGATAACCAAATATAAAAACATAACAGACACTCAAAAAAGTAAGAGATAAGATTTAAAGCACATCACTACAAAAAGTCACACAGGAAAAAAGACACAAAGTAACTTTTAAAAAGTCATAAAACAATGAACAATATAATAACAGTAAGTCATTTTCTATCAAAAATTAAACATAAATGGACTAAATTCTCCAATCAAAAGACACAAAGTAGCTGAATGAATTTAAAAAATCCAACAGTGTGCTACCTTTTAAGATTCATTTTAGCTCTGAAGACACACATAAGTTGAAATTGAAGGAATGGGCAAAGATATTCTATGAAAACTGTAAACAAAAAGACAGCAGGACTGGCTATATTTCTATCACATAAAACAGACTTTCATAAAAATAACTAACAAGTGCCAAAGAACATGTCTGCATCATAAAATTCAATTCATCAAAAGGATATAAAATTGTAAATATTTATGCATACAACATAACAGTATTTAAATATATAAAACAAGTACTAACTAAACCTGAAGGGGAAAGTAAACAACAATATATAATAGTAGGGGACTTCAAAACCCCACTTTTAACACTGGATGGCCTATGCAGACAGTAAAACTGGCAATCATAGGCAGTGTGGGTTTGATCAGTGCTGCAATTAGTTTCCAAATTCTCTTAAACAGTGGTGTCTGTGATATGCTAGTATGTTTTCCAAGTGGCAGACCAAGAAGCCAGACCATCAGTAATATCATAAGAGTTAGGTCTCAGTAAAACACAATGATAGTTCATCAAGGAGATAATGGCCAGAGCTACAAGAATAGCCTTGAGTGTACCACTGAGTGGAGTGACCATGTCTATACTTGGTTCTGCACAGATGGTACTAAGGTTCAACAGTAGTGGCACCCCAGTGGAAGCCATTAGGTTTCAACTTCAGTAAACCATCAATAAATGAAGCCCAGGCACTGAGGGCAACCTCTGAGAATATTTGGGCTACACTGTGCAAGTGGGTTTGCTTTGGGTGCTGGAATGAATATGAAGTTTTCCCCCCAAGAGATAGCTGTCACTTTTTCATGCAAAGCTAAGATACTGCTAGGGCCAGCTGGCTGCCTTATTAAATATTCCATTTCCATTTGACAAGCAAGTCCTGCTAGGTGCTTCCCACCCTGTTAGTTGTAGAGTCTGAGTTGATCTATCTCAAAATGAGAATGTCAGGTCAAAATCCCAAGACCTACCCGGGTCAGTTCAACAACAGAAGGCAAGATATTTTTCAAAAAGGATTTACCTAGTACCCATGTCAAGAGGAGGGAAGATTTTCAAGCACTTTTACAAGGCCAGATAAAAACACTACGAAGAAAGAAAAATTATGGACCAATATCCCTAATGAAGATAAATGCAAAATCCTCAACAAATATTAGTAATATGAAACTAGCAATACATTAAAAAGATCATATACCATGATCAGGGGGGATTTATTCCAGGAATGCAAGGTTAGTACAATATCTGCAAATGAAAAATGTGATAAACCACATAAACAAAATAAAGAATAAAACCACACGATCATATTAACAGGTGCAGAAAAAGCAAATAATAAAATCCAAAACTTTTATTAAAAAATTTCAGCAAAGTAGGAATAAAGGGAACATCTTTATTTTCCACATATTATTCTTTCAAATCAAGAGACTTTTAGAGACATGGAGATAAAAAACAGCGTATGTTCTAAAAATATAAATCCCTATGCCAGATGAAGACTGGACCCTAGGAAAAACCCAAAGGAACCGAGAATCCCCAGGGACACTGGATATATCAACATAATAAAGGCCATTTACAACAAACCCACAGCTAACACCATATTCAATGGGCAAAAAATATACTCATTTCCAGTAAGATCAGGAACAAGACAGGGATGTCCACTTTCAACACTCTTATTCAACATAGTACTGGAAGTCCTAGACACGGCAACTGGACAGGACAACAACAAAAAAGGCATACAAAATGGAAATGAAGCAATAAAATTGTCATTATTTGCAAATGACATGATACTGTATATAGAGAACTCTACAGATTTCACTAAAAAACTACTAGAACTGATAAATGAATTCAGTAAAGCAGCAGCATATAAAATAAATATCCAGAAATTGGTTTCATTTTAATACACCAACAATAAACTATCAGAAAGGAAAACTAAGAAAACAATCCCATTCACAACTCAAAAAGAATAGAATACTTAAGAATAAATTAAACCAAGGATGTAAAAGACCTGTACTCAAAATACGACACTGAGAAAAGAAACTGAAAAAGATACAAATAATTGGAAGCATTTATCATGTTCATAGACAGGAAAAAATGACATCATTCAAATGTCCATACTACCATCCAAAGGAATCTACAGATTCAACACAATTCCTATCAAGATATCAATAGCATATTTCACAGAATGAGAACAACTATTCAAAAAAATTATATGGAACCACTCAACACCCCAAAGAGAAACAGCTATCTTGAGAAAGAACAACAAAGTTGGAGGAATCAGGCACCTGATATGAAACTATACTACAAGGCCATAGTAATCAAAACAGCATGATATTGGCATAAAAATAGACATAAACATTCATGGAACAGAATAGAGAGCCCAGAAATAAACCAACAACTTTAAAATCAATAATATTTGACAAAGGAGCCAAAAACACACAAAGGAATAAAGACAGTCTATTTAATAAATGATCTTGGGGAAACTGGGACAGATATATGCAAGAAATAAAACTAGATCACCTTCTTACACCATACACAAAAATAAATTCAAAATTAATTAAAGACTTATGTATTACACTAGAAACCATGGAAATCCTAGAAGAAATGTGAGGCAGTAAAATCTCAGGCATTTCTCCTAGTGGTATTTTTTCTAATATATCTCCTCAGGCAACGGAAACAAAAGAAAAATAAACAAATGGGACTACATCAAACAAAAAAGTTTTTGCACAGCAAAGGAAGCTATCAGCAAAATGAAAAGACAGCTCACTGAATGGGGGAAGATATTTGCAATGATATATCTAATAAGGGTAAATACCCCAAATTTATAAAGAACTTATACAATTCAACATCCAAAAAGCAAACAATCCAATTAAAAAATGGGCAAAGGTACATTGAAGAGACACTTCTCCAAAGAGGACAATCATGTTCAGCTAATTATCAGAGAAACGCACATTAAAACTGCAATAAGAATATCAGCTCACATTGTTACATGGCTATCATCAATAAATCAACAAACAAGTGTTGGAAAAGATGTGGAGAAAAGAGAACCTTTGTGCACTGTTGGAAATGCAGATTGGTGCAGCCACTGAGGAAAGCAGTATGGAGTTATCTCAAAAAATTAAAAATGGAACTGCCTTATGACCCAATGATTTCACTTCTGTGAATTTATTCAAAGAAACTTGAAACATTCATTCAAAAGAACATATGCACCCCTATGTTCACTGCAGCGTTATTTACCAGAGCCAAGATCTGGAAGTAGCCCATGTATCTATCAGTAGATGAGTGGGTAAAAATGCTGTGGTACATTCACACAATGGAACACTTTTTGGTTGTAAAAAAAGAAAATATTACCCTTTGCAACAGCATGGATAAATCTGGAGAGCATTATGCCAAGTGAAATAAGCCGGTAAGTGAAAGACAAGTACCAAATGATTTTACTCATATGCAGAATCTAATGTAACAAACAAAATAGAGACAGACTCATAGACAGAGAGCAGGGTGACAGTTTGGGGGGGCTGGGGGTACTGAGTAGGGGTGGTGAAGGGACTGAGCAAAAAAGAAAAGAAGAAAAAACTCAAGGGGAGTGGAAAGACAAGGAGAGGTACGAGAGGATAAAGGGTGCATAAATGGTGATGAATGGAGACCTGACTTAGGGTGGTGAACACACAATGCAGTGTATAGATAGTGTGTTGTAGAATTGAACACCTGAAACATGCATAATTTTATTAACCAGTGTCACCTCAATAAATAAAAAAGAAATGAAGAAAATATATTTTTTTTAATTGTAAATAAAATAAAAAAACTATTCTTTGATTAACACTTTCCTTGAAAATCAACTGATCACCAGTCAAGTACTTCACAGGACACAATATAATCCAGTTAGAGCTATAAACTCCAGAGTGAGGCAGGTGATACATCTGACCTGGGTTCAGGTCAAATACCTGCCTCAAAGGGATGCCCCGAGGGCCTCCAATGTGCCAGGCACCATTCTAACAACCTTACAATCGATCAATCAATCATGCAAATGAAAGAAAATCCTGAACATGAAATTTCTAATGTGATCTGTGTTGGCTACTACACTATAGTATTAGTCAGGTATTCTTGTATTTTTATACTACCCATTTTAATGAGGTTTATCATAATTCCCAGTATTATGGTCATCTTGACATCATGTACTCCATTAGTTTCTCTGCTAAACTACTCTAGCATTAGTTTCTCTGCTAAACTACTCTATTTCAGATGGGTACATTTGTTAGGAGTCTACGTTGACTGTTTCAGAAAACCCAAATGAAATTAATAGCTTGTCTCTTACCGTTTGCCTCTTGGATAATGCCGCACATATTCTCCAACATCATGAGCAGCAACAGCTAAGACTTGTGGATCATCTGATACCTCCAGAAGTTTTGTCAAAATTCTGAAATAAATGTAATCCAAGAAGAGATCAATTTTTTTATTTTTCTATACAGCACAAAAGAGCAAAGGTATAACATTGATATCTTTCTGAAAATAGATGTTTATGAATACAATCATTTTCAACAAATTTCACTTAGGACACATAACACATTACACATAATGTTACACATGAGTTAGCAGTTTTCAAACTTTGATACACATATAACTGGTTAATTTCAGATTCACAATGACTACCATGCATAATTCCCAAAACATCAGGGACTGCCTCTCCTGCCCTCTTAAGACATCTCCACTCAGATGTATACGAGGCCTGTCCAGAAAGTATCTAGCCATGTAATATGAAAAATAAAGGCATTTATTAAAGAAGACACAAGCAACATTGTACATAGGACAATGACGCCTCAGTCCCCTTCAAAGTAGGCACCTTGGGATCTCACACAGTTCTCCCAATCACCATCACCTGCCCCATCATAGTTTCCTGAATCCCATCAATAGTCTGAAATCTCTTCCCTTTCAAAGGTGATTTCAGTTTGGGGAAAAAACAGAAGTCACAGGGCACCAAATCTAGGCTAAAAGGAAGCTGAATCACCTGGGTGATTTGATGTTTCACCAAAAAACTCTGCACAAGACATGATGCAGGAGGAGGTACGTTGTCAGGATGAAGCTGCAATCACCAGTTGCCCATCGCTGTGACCTTCCGAATCATCTGAATAGTTTCTATGGAGGAGTGTTTAAGCTTAACACGAAATTTGATGCAGATCCTTGCTCTACTCATCACTGAGTCATCATGCTCATGCATGCACATTCCATTCCACTCTCCTCAGCTGCCAGATTACATCAATGTTGCACCAACCATTTTCATTATATTAACTATGGTTGGGCTTTTTCTGGACAGACATCATATGTAAACTCCTTAAACTCACAGGAATGTCCAAACTTTTGGCATCTCTGGGCCATAATGGAAGATGAGCTGTCTTGGCCCACACATTAAATACAAAAACCCTGACAAAAACTGAGTAAAAAAAAGTTTTAAGTATATTTATGATTTTGTGTTCAGCCTCATTCATAGCCATCCTGGGCTGCAGGTCATGGGTTGGACACCCCTGACAGAATTAGCTAATAGAACCTGGTAGAATACTGAGAAAACACCTTTTATTCCGTGCTCATCTCAAATGTCAACTCTAGCTTAAGAGCCTCGAGTTGCCGTAAGACACTACCCTCCTCATCATTCTCTATCTACTCTTCCTGATTTATTTTTCTTACAGTGTTAATCACCATCTGCAATTATATATTTACTTGAGTACTTGTTTAGTCTTTCTCTCCCAAATATAAGTATAATGAGAACTATAACTTTGTGTTATTTGCCATTGTATCTGTAACACCCGAAACACTAATGACCATGCAATAGATATTTAACAAATACCTGCTGAAAAAAAATGAATAAATGAAGTATAAAATGGTATGCTGATTGGGAAAAACAATTCTGACAGCTCCTAATGGTATTAAAAATACACAGACCTCTGATCCAGCAATTCTATTCTAACAATCAATCCAACAGAAATATTTTCACATTTCCAGAAAGATATCTATGTACACTATCTTAAATAAATGACTTAAGAGAAAAGACCAAGAGTAGAGTCCATTATGCTTTTTTCCTCCATTTCTTCTTGTCTGCTTTTTCCTCTGCAACAATGATAATTTTGTGTACAAAGCAGTTTAACATCCACCCTTTTATCTAACCCTTACTACTAAGATAGTTCTCCCTACAGACAGGTAAATGGAGGCTCAGTGAAATTTAAATGGCCAAATTAAAAAAAAAGTTAAGAGACCCCAAATCATTGTAAGTGAAAAAAAGAAAGGCACAGACTAATACATTTAGCATGGTGACATGTATAAATAATTATATAAAAATGCAGTACAGGAAGGTCTATGAACAAAAGAAAACTGGAGACTGTCACACCTATTAACTTTGGTTATCACAGGGCAGGAGTTGGAGGTAGAACAACAATTAAGAAACTCTTCCACTTTAGTTATGTATGCCTTCAAGAGTGCCTGAATGACTTGGCTCAGGCTAGAGATATAACTTAGAATACAAAGATCTAGTAATACACACACATACATTTTTTAAAGTTACTTAATTTTACCAAGATCCTTAAGATGTTACTTTCCCTTATATTGCTAATTTTAAGTTGAAAATATTTACAAGAAAAAACTTTGAACCATTTAGCTGTCTATTCAAACACAAACTATTCATTTACAAAATATAAATCTTATTTCTTAAAGCCTTTACTAGAAAACAACTTGAACTATAACCATCTTGACTCATATCATTTTCATTAAAGCAGATAATTGAAAGTAATAAAATTCACCATGGCTGGTGTGGTTCAGTGGATTGAGAACCAAAGGGTCTTTGGTTCAATGCCCAGTCAGGGCACATGCCTGGGTTTCAGGCCAGGTGCCCAGTAGGGGGAATGTCAGAGGCAACTACACAGTGATGTTTCGTTCCCTCTCTTTCTCCCTCCCTTCTCTTCTATAAATGAATAAAATCTTTTTAAAAAAAGTAATAAAAGTCTACAGCCTTGTTCAAAAAGTTGTATGCATCTATAAAGCTTGATTATTCAGTTTCTAGAGCATCACCTAAGACTGCAGCTCAAAGTTTCTCCACCTACCTTCTCCTATTACCACCTCAGCCTATCAAATAGCTAAACTCTATAAACAACAGACAACACTAATAAACAATCTGTTGTCAATCCAGAAACATTTCATTATAAAGTAATTCCATACCTTCTTCTAAACTAACTGGGAAATGTGCATTTCCAAATAACAGAAAAGGAATGAGCATTTACAATACACATGTATGTTCCAAATTCTGTGTAAATCATATTAATAATATTTACAGACTGCAAATAAGCCTTCAGTGTGATCTATGCCCATGAAGCAATATGGAAGGAGAGAAGACTCTTAACCTTGGGGAACAAGGATGTTAAAAATGCAGAAAAGATCTAAAATTGCTAGAGGCAGTGAATCTACCAGACCAGGCTGCCATAATACACTGCCCAGGACACCAAAAGGGATAGTTCACAAACCAACCACAGAAACCAAACTGTTGATAAAACAGCAAGATGAGCAGCTGGAGGGCTGCCATGCTTAGGGGTTTTGATCCCCTACTTGGACTTGTCAATATTTAAACTCTATTACATAGAATGAGATGACTAATGGGCCCGTCAATGGGGATTTACTAACAATGATCCCAATTCCATATGGAAAGTCAACATCTATGGAATGATCTTACTTCCCAAGGTTCTGGTGTATCTCATTCTCAAACACCTACATGAGAGGATCCATTATAGAAGGGATGCTTTGATGGACCTCATTAGACCACATCTGAAGGGCCCCCATTTGCAAAGAACTGTTCAGAGGATTATCCAAGTCTGTCAGATATGTGCCCAAAACAATCCTAACAGAGAATGCACCCCAGCAAAAAGGGGAGTACAATATAAAGGGTTATGCCCATAAAAGAACCAGCAAGTAGACTTTATGCAAATGCCTAAAACCAGAGGGAATTTCAAATTTTCATTAGTTTTTTGTGGACACTTTTTCTGGATGGGTAGAGGCATACCCCTCTAGAATTGAGAAAGCAACTGTAGAGACAAAACTTCTATTTAAAGAAATAATTCCTAAGTTTGGATTTTTTCCACAGTTTTCAGAATGACAATGGACCATCATCCACTTTGGAGATCTCCCAGAAAGTTGGACAGGTACTGCAAATAAAATGGAAATTACATGCATCTTGGAGACTTTGAATCTATGGGAAACACTGAGAAAATGATTCACACAATGAAGAGGGCCTTGGCAAAAATACACATTTGAAATGGGATCAGGCATGTTTCAATGAATCTTTCTCTGAATTAGGGTGTAGGAAAGCAGTTCACATGGTGCCGAAATGTAGCTCAGCACCCACACAGAAAACCAGCAGGGATCAAATGGTACACAGGACCACACCCATGAAGACGTTTTCCTGTGGGGGACCAGGCCTGCATTGTACCTAGACTGCTATGAGGCTTGCTTTTACTAAAACTCCCTCACCCTGAATTGAGGCAGCATGTCCTTACTGTAACTTCCTGAAGTCTGTGCTAAACCTCCCAAGTATGGAGTGTAACCAGTCCAACCACTTTTCCCCTTGGTCTGCAATATCCTTCTTTTTAAAGTAATTAGCAGCATTCTTTCCTTTGTTATCTGTAAAAAGTAAATCAACTGCAGCCAAGCTGTGCAACCCTCCATGTAATGTACTCAGAAAAACAATAAAAGCCAGTCCAGGCAGGGGTTGTGGGCCTCTGGCCCTCTCTCTCACTTAGACAGCCAGCCATGCCTTCCCTTTTTCCCCACAGGACTTCTGTAGTCCATGTATATTTGTTCACTAGCAGCCACAACACACACGAATCCTACAGGCCAGGATCCACATTAGGGTACCTCCCAGAAGTGGTCTTAAATTAAGCCCTTTTGAAACAGTTTATTGGAGATCCATCCAAATCTTGGTTCTGGGAATGCCCCCACCCCTACCCCCACCAATCCTGCCCCAGATTAGGAGCATGGGTGAAAAATTAAGCAGTATGTACAACATTTAGGGCAAACAGTAACCATTCTGCACAAGTTTGCTCATTGAAGGTCCATCTACCCATCTGACAAGCAGAGTGGTCCCTATGATGACCTACTGACAACACATTCTTCTCTGAGCCTTGGATCCACCACACATGAATAAAAGCACTGCCTGAGAATTCGAACCCTGCTACTGTGGTTGATGCTGAAAAGGAAAGTTGGACTTGCATTCTGGAAGGAGACTTGAAATTTCTCTTTCAGAAGAAGAGAGCAGGCCCCCATGCAAAGTGATGACGTTCCTTTATTTACGGGTTTGCAGATTTAAGGATTTTTAGCTGCCAGATACTGAGCTTGAGTGTGGTCTGTTCCATCACTAAAAAGAACAAGCACTGAAAGTGAGTTATGGTTATACCTGAGTGACTAAGAAGGTCTATGAAAGTCACAGAAGGTGTGTGGAAAGTTGTGAGGCATATAGGGGGGGAAAAAGGGTTTGTGGAGGTAACAGAGGCTATCAGGTATGAAATTTTTTTTTTGAAAGGAAAGAGACCTCAGTGCTTGACTTATTCTTTGCCTTAGGTTTTGTTTAGTTTCTTGCTTTCTGATCATTTGAGGACTTGAGGAACTTAACTGTTTTGTTCACACTGGGAATCTTCGGTCTCTGCTGTCTGGGGCTTTGTGCCATCACTGGACCTCATAAAGGTCATTTTCAGTACCGGATGACATGAGAATATGTCTCTGCTACTTGGGATTTTCTGCCATTTGGATGTTAGAAAGGTTGTCTCTTGCTAGTTAGAACCGGCTGGGGTGAGAGAGCAATGTCTGCCATGAGACTGGCTGGTGAGAGATCTGCCTGCCAGCAGACACATGGACGCACTGGTAAGTGAGAAAAGGCCTCTACCACTGGGGCTTCACGCCAATCCAGCTAGGGTGAGAACACATCTCTGCCGTTTGGGTCTTCATGCCACTGGGGACCTGAGAGAGGTCATCTGTGTGACCAGTTAGTGTGACATTTTGGTGGGAAACAAGATCAAGATTCTTAGGCTAGTTTTAGTCCCCTCTTAGTATTTTTTGTGGGCAGGGAGAATTCTATCTTCCCTTTGGATATTTGTTTTGTTTCAGTTTTGAAAAGAAATTGAGGTTCCTAAGAGTTAAAACTTTACATTGGGTTGGGAAGTAATGAAAGATAAGGTGTGCAAATGAAATTCTGGTGGATAATGGAAAGGCAAGGATATTCCTTTTTGCTTTGTAGTTTTACCCCTACCTGATCCTTCTAGAATTTGGAATTCTTAATGGGTAATGATATAAAATTTCCTTTGCATAAAACCAATAAGACCAGTTTTAATAACCAAGGCTTTGACTGGAATGTCATGCCTGAAGGAGGCAGGCCTGGGCTCTGGTTGTTACCAGAAGGCCTTAAGGAACTAAGATTGACTTTGGAAACCAACAGAAGCCCACTGGAGAAGTAGTATGGTATCATGCTTGGTCTTGTGGTTCACGGAAGTCTTTCCCGGGAAGAAACAAAGGTTGCTTTCCTGAAAGATGGCAAGGAGGAACCTTAAGATATGATGGGAACCTCAAGAACCTGAGAAATACAGATAATGCAGGCAAAGACATATGGCGGTATACAGCGTAGCTCCTATGCCCTGAATAGCTGTCTAAGGGTCAATCTTAAAGTTCCTTGCGGAAATCTCAGTAAAGTAGACTTTAAAAAGCATATATGTTCAATGCTGCTCTTGTTTTTATGCAACTGATGAGACAAAATTGAAAACCTGCAGTCTTTTTGAGGACAGTGGGGAAAGGAATCAGGTTTTAAAGAAAATCACAATGCTCAGGAATGAACTGTCTTCAAAGTTTGTTTTCATTTGAAAGTTGATCTGATTTAACCAGATGATATCAAATTGTTACTGCTTAGTATTGTTTCAGCAAAGGCCTTGCAAATGAACATATTCTTAAAAGACAGTCTAGTGGACTCAGAAACAGTATACGCTCCACTTGAGAAGTTCACCTGCATTGCCACCTCCTGGTACTCAATGGTTTGACTGGACTAAATGGTTGAGTTGGTGAAGTATGGGGTAGCCTATCAGCTTTACTTTAAATCTGCTTTCTTTTCTGCCTTGGATGAAAAGGGTCCAGAAGTGTTAAAAGGAGGAAATCTCAGGATTTATGCCCTAAGCCTAATTTAAGTTCAGTATAGTAGGCAGTAAGGCTTCAGATTCGTAATACAGCTTGCATACCTTCCTCAAAGGACACCATTTTTTCTTAATCAGGGACACTGCAGAATTAGTCCCTACCTTTGTTATTTAGTTGTTATAGTTCTGATTGTGCCTTTTAACCCTCTTGACAAATTTGTCACCTCCAGAATGTGACAGGATGCCAACTCATTCAGTAAAGCCATCCATGGGGTGTGTATACTGCTTTCCAGGTACAACCAACTGACCTGGACTTTGCAAGATACTTCTCCCTTGTGGGAAGTCTCTCCTCCACTCCAGACCTCCTTGGTTAGGGACCTCTGCACCAGGGGATAAACAGGACTATAGTCCTTGGTCAGCAGGAAGTAAAGAAGAATGACACCTTCATCCATGTGCCCTTGGTAAGATTACAAATGTCTAGAGTGCCAAAGGGGAGATTATAACAGGGAGGTGAGGGGAGATTTGGGCCAGCAGGTCCCAGAAAGCAGGTCCTGAAAGACGGCATGGCCAGGTGACAAGCCCTGCACCCCTCCCCCACATACAAAGCTGTGGCAGCCACCCACCAGCAGCCTCCTCACTTATTCCCTGGCAGGGGGTGGAGGCATCAAGGAATCTGTGTATTATCTATAAGTAAATAAAATTTTTATTTTTCTTCCAACTGGACTCTGTCTCCAGAGCTCTTGTCTATGGGTAGCATGCAGTGGAACCCCACTAGTTTAATAGCAAAACCAGCTTAACCCTCAAGGAGGTCTAGAAAATATGTTTTAATATCCTCACTTGCTTGAGGATCACAGAGAAAGCATGGGGGGGGAGTGTCTCCCAGGACCATGCAATCAGCCTGGAAGAAATTGTGGCCTGAGTTACTTGCTGAAAGAGATTTTGAGGGCTTTGATGATGAACCTGTGTCTATTTTGGAGCATACTTTGTCTCTAGACAAGTCCATAGGCTTGGAGGTAGATGACAATGATGATGTGGAAGAGTTGATGGAGGACTACCACACTAAGCTCACCCCCAAGGAACTCTAAGACCTTCAGAGAAAAGAGCAACAGACAGCAGCTGAAGTTCTTTTCAGAGAAGCAGGGTAGAGAAAATATTCCTACTTCACTAATCAAGGAAATGCTTGGGAAATGGGGAGAAATACAACTTTTATTAAGAAATATACCCTGATAAAGAAGTAATGATCCATGTAATAAACTTGTTTAATGACAATGCAGTATTTCACTTCAGGCAAGTGTTAAAATGCAGGCAAAACCAAACATCATTGGATAGGTTTTTAGTGAGACAGAGGCCCAGTGAGCCTGAAGCAAGTTCTTAGTGGAGCAAAGAGACAAATGTGAAAAAGAACCTCAGAAGAACCACTACCTGATGTTTTTTATGGAGGGGTATACCCCTTCCAAACAATATCCCTCCATTCCTCCTCTACATATTCAGTCATCAACAGCTGTCAACATTAAGGCTAAGTTCTAGTGTATATGTTAATTTTCTCACACATTTCACTTTTTGTTGTTTCCATTTATATTTCACATCCTTTTTGTTTTTAAAATTGTTTATTTATAGATTAAATAGTACATTAGACATATACTATATATAAAAGAAAAGCTAAAACGGGGAATCATTTGGGTATCTGGAGTGACTTAATTAAATTGATCTTATTTTTAATGGGAAAATAATGATTCAGTTTTTGAACAAATCACTTCTCAGTCTTCTAGAATGAATTAAGTTGAGTACAAAAGAACTCATGTTCAGAATACATACAGAATTCTTACACTGGGTTAGCCAAAAAGTTCATTTAGCTTTTTCCATTAAATAAAATGCACATTTTTCATTTTCACCAATAACTTTATTGATTTGGATATTTTAAGTATGTCACCTATCTCCCACTATTGGCTTCTAGTGGGCAGAGGATAAGGGTGCTGCTAAATATCTTCCAATGCATAAGACAGCCCCACAGCAAAGATTTATTTCACCAAAATGTCAATAAAAACAAGAAACTTCGCAAACCACTTCTGACATGTTCAGTCAGTCACAGCACCTTCTCCATACGCTGCACAAATCTTTTCTTTACATTTCATTTGTGTTTTTACCTTTCTTGAAATAATAAAGCGTAATATGCTTAAAGCTTTGTTTATCTTCTTCCATCTTCAATATTAAAATGGCTACGCAAAAATTCAACAATTTGGTAAGTTTTTTTAAATGCGTGCTGACATGACAGCTGTCACAATACAATCTAACAAAATTGTTCTGAATGAAGTTAAAGACACCTTAGCGCTTCCAGAGGCATTGTACAGAAAAGAACTAAACAAACCTTTTGGCCAAACCAGTAAAATGAAAAAAAATTTTTAAGGCACTTCTCCTAGAAAAAATATATACAATACAAACCACCTATATTAAAAGGTATTCAACCACATTAATGGACAAGAAAATACCAATTAAAACCACAGAATATCTAACATTTAAAGTGACAAAAACATGTTTGTGAAGATGTAAAACAACGGGTATTAGAGTGTAAACTGGAATTTAAAACTTACTTCAAGAGCTCATAATTCTTCTCATTTAACCTCACAGCATTTTCTCTCCAAAATTTCTCAGATTTGTGTACAGGGCTCCATTCCAATCTTCCAGATTTAAGTTCTGAACTGTACTCATCAAATGAGCTGTAAAAATTTTTAAAGAATTCATAGTTTATAAGAATCTAAGAGATCCTCCAAGTTAATTAAAATATCTTCACTGATGATTTAACTACAAAGACTGACTATCCTTAGTACAAATCACCACTAAACAAAGTTTAAACATCTTGAATGAGATCTATAAATCATGTGAAATTTATTCAGAGTACAAAGGCCCAATACCCCTGACAAATTTGAATGCTTATCATGATATTAAAAGGGATACTTACTTCAGAAATTCATATTCTAATATATGTATACATAAATATAAAATCTGATAATCTAGCAGAGCTTCTACCATGCCACTTAAAATACTGTATTTGCCAGACCACTAGATACATTAACATAAATTTATGTTAAAGTATGTTACTTTAACAATATAAAGTAGTATATTCTATTACATTATAAGTATTATAAACTACATTGCATTACAAAAGCAAAAACATATATCTCTACAATATTTTACAATGTGATTATGAACAGTAAAGAGAATTTTTTGGTTGAATTAACCCACTATAGATTAAAAATAGAAATCTCTGTACATGTAACAACTGCAATCAATGCACTTTAATTAAACAATTGTTTCCGATGTATCAAGTTCCTTCATTATTCAGTTAGCCAGTGGACAACCACCAGGACAAGACATGCCTGGACTCTTTTTCAAGTAACCATTTAATACCGAATGGTAATTCAGAATAACCAGGGTTTACTGGGTAAATTAATCAGAAGGTCCTGTTTTGAATAATGTAGTAATTTACTTGAACATAAGCCCAATCAGTATAACAAGTAAGCTAGTATGCTTAATAGTAATATCCTAAGTCTAAAACAGAGAAAAATCTTTCAACTGCATCCATCATCCTATAACTTTATGTAAATAGACATATTTTTCAAATTTCTAAATTCAACATGAGAAATCAGTAAGTAATAATTCTCCAATGTAGAGTAAATAATTTATAAAGCTAATTATCATTAGGCTTATTTATTTTTAAAAGGGATCTTAAATCATTATTACAAAAGAACTGATAAATTTTTTTAATAAACATAACAGAACTTATAAAAACTGGAAGCCAGGCTGTACTGGGGTGCAGGAGAAGATGGAGGTCTACACAGTGAAAAACTGCAGTGCAAACAAAATAAAGCTCAGAAGAAAATGAAGGCAAAAAGAAAAAAGGTGGTTGTTTAGAGAAGCTGCTCAACTCCTACATACAGTGTTTAGTTTCCTATGAGCACAGAATGAAAAACACAAGCTGGAAGATGGTAGCAAGATAGGTGTGAGTGGAGTCAACTTTCTCCTGTGCATAGATGGAACACGCAGCCAATCTTCTGAGGGACAGAGTGAACAGCCAATGGTATCCCAGCATATATAAAGGGTGGAGGCCAAGATTGCAGAGAACACTGAAAAATCAGATGGTAAGGAGAGTGCTTTGGGATGATAAGGTCCCTGGGACAAGGGGCCAGGGCAGGTACAGCATCAGGCCTTGCGCCTGCCAGGCCTGCCACAAGATTCTTGGGAAAGAGCCAGGTCGATGGCTCCCTCCTCTGCCAAATGGGTGGTTTGAGCAGCACCAGGATGGACTTGGATGCTTGAAGTCATTGCGGGGAATGAAGACAAAGTGGCAGACGCACAGGGGTGGTGTTTTCCCACTGGAACTGTGGACACTGGCTAGGTCATTACCAGAGAAATTGGGGAGCCGGGTAACACCTGGAGAAGGGAGAATAGTAGATACATGACCACCTGACCTGGATAGTCCTCGGTCTGGCTGGAAAGTGAGGTGGTATGAGAGACCAGGCACTTGTTAGCGCTTGAACAGAAGGAATTTGTTTTTTTAAAAAAAAGGCTCCCCATGGCTGTTTAGGAAATTCTCCTGCAGCGGATGCCCATGCCTCCCTGGCTGCACCCCTGCAGCTGTCAGAGCCTCAGCCACAGCTGTCCCTGCTGCCACAACCACAAGCACGCTCCTTCCCTCCCCAGGCCAAAGTCATGGGGGAACCTACCCCATCGCCCTACTGTCCCATCAGTGCAAGCCCAACCCTGTCTCCACTGTCTCAGCAGCAGAGGAGACTTGCCCACAACTGATGTCCCAGAGGCACGCACCCAAATCCGCTGCTGCAGACACAGCAGTGCTCCTGCCCCACAGGGCTGGACTGGCTCACTAAGAGGAAGAAGGGGGCGCCCCACAGGACAGCAGCAGGGCTCAGGGAGTCAGCAATCGCCAGAAAGAGTTAAATCAGTGAGGGAGCTAAACTACCCTGAAGAGACTTTCAGAGTCCGTAGCACCTAGGTCAGCAAAGAGAGAGAAGGTGGTATGTGAGCTGCCCCTGACTGGCGCACCTCAAGAACAGCACAACTGGTGGACTGAGGGCATAGGCCTGGTGCACAAAGGCACTGGGTGCCCGGCAGTGAATTGAGGAGCTGGGCTGGAGGCTGGGCAACTATGAAGAGTGCGGCCTAGACCTAGCCCCTATCAGCGTAAAACTATAGGAAAGTAGAAAAGTGAAACCCAACCCCCCTCAGCCTGCTGTAGCCAGAAGACCTGTAGAACTCACTTGGCAATTTAAAGCCAGCAAGAAGCTTTTTTTTTCTTTCTTCCTTTTTTTCCTCCACAAGTGTGACAGTAAGACCTGGAGCTCTAAAAGGACCAGACTCAGACCCAAAGAAGGATCACTCCAACAACTGAAGACAGTGAGACAAATTTCACTTTGCTATTCCAGAGACTCTGCAACTTTCTGTTTATCCATATTATTATTTTTCACTATTTTTACTCCTTTTATTTCATTAGCATTTTCAAAATCTGTCTTCTTTCTGTTTCGTTTTCTTCATTTTGTTTAATTACATTGTTTGACTGTTTTTCCTTGTTCTCTCTTTCATAGAGTATTTCTAATTTTCCTTCTTTCACTTCACTTGTATTCTAATAGCACATTGCTCTAGGTTGTGTACTTCCTATTCCTGTTATTCAGATCACATAGGTTTGGTCATATAATTGCTATTCCAGTATTAGTGTAAAAAATTATTGTTCCATTCAGTTGGAAATACTGCACCGCTCCCCTCCCAGATCAGCCCAGTTCACTGTCTTCTGGAACATTATTACTGTTGTGGTTAACTCTATTCTCTTGTACACTACCCTTATTTTCTATCCTTTACTCTCACTATATCTCCTAATCTGACCTCCAACAAGCTCACTGAATTCTGTATTCAACTCACAATTCCATCCCCCCCTCTATCAAGAATCTTATCTTTTTTCCACCCTTTCTAAAATGTGGCTAGTTGGGTGAAATATCACAGTTAACACCATACTTATTTAAAGGATCTCCTAACTCTTCTCTATCTCATTGTACTTTAAATCTCACAGAATACTCTCCCACTGACTTAAGCCAATTTGCCTTCCCCCTGTAACTTATCACATACAAGAGTAGGTGGGAGCTGTGAACATCAATTACCTTCTGGAACAGAGAACCCACCAAAAAGGAACTACCAGAAGATAATAAAGGAAGATGGTGGGGGAGTGAGTGGAAGCCACACTAACCTCCTCCCAGGGCCAATCTGGAATTACAATTAAAGTGGGGAGAAATTACCCAGAACAAAAAACTGAACAATAGTGAGAGAGAAGCCTTATAACCTCAGACAGACAGGAGAACCAGCTTTGCCACAACCTGTCTGCACCTGCACAACAGCATACAAGATGTGGTAGATGGAGTGACCCACAGTCAACCAGTAGGAGGGAAGGACCCACCAAAGAAAAGCCCAACAACAATCAAAACCAAAACACATACAGAAAGCCAACATAAAAGACAGCCCAAGAGTAGCAAGTTCAGGGGATCAAGGAGACCACACCACTGAATCTCACAGGTTTCCTACCATAGAAGTCCATACCAGAGACCTGCAGAGTCAGACTGATCAATTTAAGAAGCAGAGGCTGACAAGAAAAGTCCCACAAACAATGGGAACACAAAGAAACAAACCTCAAGTAAAAAGAAAGGAGGAAGCCTCAAAAAGAATGCTAAATGGAATAGAGACAAGTGAACTACCAGATAGTGAACTCAAAGCAATAGCTACAAGGAAGCTCAATGAGCTCACAGAGAATTACCATAAACTACAGGGAAACTATGATGAACTCACTGAAAACTATGTCAGCATGAAAGGAAATCAACGAAGGCCAAGAGGAAGTGAAGAATACAATTTCTGAATTGCATAACAAAGTAGGTGGAATCAACAGCAGGCTAGACGAACCATAGGGTCAAATCAGAAAGCTGGAGATGAAAAAAAAAAAAACACCCGGAAAGAGCAATAAAAGGAAAAAAGACTCAAATAAATGAAAAGGTGTTACGGGAACTGCACAACAATGAAACGTAATTATGTCCACATAATGGGGATACCAGAAGAAGAATAAGAGCAACACATAGAAAAAGTAATGATGGAAATGTTTGAAAAAGTAATGATGGAAAATTTCCCTAATTTGAGAGAAAAAGTCACACAAATCCAGGAAACACAAATAGTCCCAATCAAGAGGAAACAAAAAGAGGCCCACCTCAAGACACATCATAATTAAAATGGCAAAATGCCAAGAAGAACAGAGAATCTTAAAGGCAGCAAGGGAGAAACAGGAAGTAACATACAAGAGAGCCTCAGTAAGACTAGCAGCTGCCTTCTGAATGATGACACTCCAAGCCAGAAGAGAATGGCAGGAAATATGCGAAGTAATGAAAATGAGAGGCTTGCAACCAAGATGACTTTGTCCAGCAAGACTCTCAATTATAATGGATGGCCAAATAAGAAGTTCTCAACAAAAGAAGCGTCAGAGAATACACCTCCTCCAAACCAGCTCTGCAAGAGATGCAAAAATGTTTGCTTTAAGAAAAGAAAAAAAAAGTGACAGAGAGGAACACAGATAGGAAAAAATGGTAATGAATAAGTTCCTATCGATAATAAACTTAAAAATAAATGGATTAAATGCTCCAAGCAAAAGATACAGAGTAGTTAGATGGATAAGAAATTATGACCCACAGATATGCTGCCTATAAGAACCTAACTTAGAACAAAAGATCTAACACAGACTAAAAGTGAAGGGTTGGAAACAAATATTCCAAGCAAATGGACAGGAAGAAAAGCTGGGGTAGCAATACTTGTATCGGACAAAACAGACTTCAAACGAAGGGCCATAAAGAGACCCAGAATGTCACTTCATAACACTCAAGGGAAGAACCCACCAAGAAGACATAAACATTGTAAATATATATGCAGCTAATATAGGAGCACCCAAATATATAAAGAAAATCTTAGAGGAATTCAAGAAAGATATTGACAGCAACACAATTATAGTAGGGGATTTTAACACCCCACTGTCAAAAATGGACAGATCTTCCTGACAAAATATCAACAAAGATACTGCAGCACCGAACAATGTCCTAGATCCAGTTGACTTAAATGATATATAGAGACTCTAGATCAAATACATTTAACTGATACACATAGAGCCTTTCATCCCAAAGAAGCAAAATACACATTCTTTTCAAATGCACATGGAACATTTTTAAAGACAGATCACATGACAGGACACAAAACAAACCACAACAAATTCAAGAAAATTGAAATCATATCAAGCATTTTCTCTGACCACAAGGGACTGAAACTAGAAACCCACCTCAAGGAAAAAATTAAAAAACACTCAAACTCATGGAGACTGAATGTTATGCTATTAAACAATGAATGGGTCAATAATGAAATTAGAGAAGAAATCAAAGTTTCTGGAAACAAATGAAAATGAACTCACAACAACCCAAAACACAATGAAAGCAGTCCTGAGAGGGAAGTTTATAGTGATACAGGCCTACCTCAAAAAGACAGAAACATTTCAAATAAACAACCTAGTCCTACACCTACAAGAACTCAAAGAACAACAACAAACAAAGCCCAGAGCAAACCCAAGGAACAAAATAACCGAGATCAGAGCAGAATTAAATAAAAATACATAGAGACTAAAAGCACAATTCTAAGAATCAGTAAATCCAGGAGCTGGTTTTTTGAAAAGATAAACAAAATCAACAAGCCTTTAAGCAGGTTCATCAAGAAAAAAAGAGAACCCAAATAAACACAATCAGAAACGAAAGAGGAGAGTTTGCAACTGATACCACAGAAATACAAAGGATTGTAAGAAATTACTATGAAGAACTGTATGCCAAGAAATTTGAAAACCTAGGTGAAATGGAAAAATTTCTACAAAAATATAATCTTCCAAAACTCAATGAAGAAGAGGCAGAAACTGTGAGTAGATCAATAACTATTGATGAAATTGAAGCAGTAATGATAAGAAAACTCCCAACACACAAAAGCCCTGGACAGGACAGTTTCACAGGAGAATTCTACAAAGTATTTAAATAAGAGCTAGCCTCTATCCTTCATAGACTATTCCAAAAAATCCAAGATGACTGAAGACTCCCAAAGTTTTTATGAAATCAGCATCATCCTAATTCCAAAACCAGACAAAGACACAACAAAGAAAGAAAACTTCAGGCCAATATCACTGATGAACATAGACGCTAAAATCCTCTACAAAATACTGACACTAAAATCCTCTACAAAATACTGGCAAACTGCATCCAGCAATACATTAAAAAGATCATACATACACCAGGACCAAGTGAGATTCACCCCAGGGATGCAAGGATGGTCCAATATTCACAAATCAATAAATGTAATACATCTCATAAACAAAAATCACATGGTTACATCAATAGATGCAGAAAAAGCATTTGATAAGGTACAGCACCCATTTGCAATAAAAACACTCAGCAAAGTGGGAATAGAGGGAACATTCCTCAACATAATAAAGGCCATATACAATTGACCTACAGCCAACATCATACGCAATGGGCAAAAACTTAGAACTTTCCCACTAAGATCAGGAACAAGAAAAGCATGTCTGCTTTCATTACTTCTGTTCAACACAGTATTGGAAGTCCAAAGCACAGCAGTCAAATATGAAAAAGAAACAGAAAGCATCCAAATTGGAAAGGAGGGAGCAAAACTGTCACTGTTTGCAGATGACATGATAGAAAATCCTACAGACTCCACCAAAATAACTACTCAACCTAATAAGTGAATTTGGAAAAACAGCAGGGTTCAAAGTCAATATTCAGAAATCAAATGTGTTTTTGTACACCAACAATAAAATATCAGAAACAGAAGTCAGGAAAAACTCCCATTTGATATAGCATCAAGAAAAATAAAGTACCTAGGAATAAGCCTATCCAAGGATGTAAAACACCTGTACTCAGAAAACTACACAACACTAAAAAAAAAGAAATTAAGGAAGACACAAACAAATGGAAGCTTGTACCATGCTCATGGATTGGAAAAATTAACATCATCAAAATGTCCATACTACCCAAAGTAATTTACAGATTCGATGCAATCCCTATGAAAGTACCAATGGCATATTAAAAAGATATAGAAAAAAACATTTCAAAGATTTATATGGAACCACAAGTGATCCCAAATAGCTTCACCAATTTTGAGAAAGAAGTACAAGGTAGGAGGGATCACAGTACCTGATATCAAACTGTATTACAAGGCCACAGTAGTCAACACAACCTGGTACTGGCATAAGAACAGACATATACACAAATGGAACAGAACAGAGAGCCCAGAAATAAACCCAAGTCTCTATGGTCAACTAATATTCGACAGAGGGGGCAGCAACATAAAATGGAGTAAAAATAGCCTCTTCAACAAATGGTGCTGGGAGAGCTAGATAGCTACATACAAAAAAACGAAACTCGATCACCAACTTACACTATACACAAAAATAAATTCAAGGTGGATAAAAGACTTAAAATAATCCATGACACCATTAAAGTCCTAGAGGAGAACACTGGCAGGAAAATCTCAGAGATTCCACACAGCAATATTTTCACCGATATGTCCCCTAATCAAGGGACAAAAAGGAAGGAATAAACCATTGGGACCTCATCAAATTAAAAAGCTTCTGCACAGCTAAAGGAAACAGCATTAAAATGAAAAGAGATCCAACTATATGGGAAAACATATTTGCCAATGGTATCTTAGACAAGGGTTTGATCTCCAAAATATATAAAGAACTTACATGACTTCCCTCTAAGAAGACAAGCAACCCAATTAAAAAATGGGCAAAGGACTTGAACAGACACTTCTCCAAGGACATACAAAGTGTCCAGAGACATATGAAAAGATGCTCACCATCTCTAGCCATCAGAGAAATGCAAATTAAAAGCACATGAGATACCACCTCACACCACTGACAATGGCCATCATAAACAAAGCAATCAACAGCATTGGAGAGGTTGAGGAGAAAAGGAAACCCTACTGCACTGTTGGAGGGAAAGCAGACTGGTGCAGCCCCTGTGGAAAACAGTGTGGAATTTTGTCAGAAAACTAAAAATGAAACTGCCTTTTAACCTGGCAATTCCACTGCCAGGACTATATCCTAAGAACCCTGAAAGAGCAATCCAAAAGAACCTATGCACCCCAATATTCATAGCAGCACAATTTGCAACAGCCAAGTGCTGGAGGCAACCTATGCCCATGAGTAAATGAATGTGTAAAAAAACTACAGTGTATTTACACAGTGGAATAGTACACAGCAGAAAGAAAGGAGACAACAATAAAAACCAAAAGCATTTAAAAGAAAAGAAAAGGGGAAGGGGAAAGGAAAAGGGAAAGGGAAGCCTGGCTGGTGTAGCTCAGTGGATTGAGTGCAGGCCTGCAAACCAGAGGATCATAGTTCGATTCCCCAGTCAGGGCACATGCTTGGGTTGCAGGCCAGGTCACAGCAGGAGACACATGATACACTGTGTTCCCAGCAGAGGCAACCATATATTGATATTTCTCTTCCTCTCTCCTTTTCCCCTCTAAAGATAAATAAATAAAATCTTAAAAAAAAAAAAGAGCTCTACCCTTTGCAACAGCATGGATGGAACTGGAGAACATTATGCTGAGTGAAATAAGCCAGGCAGTGAGGGACAAATACCATATGATGTCATCTTTAAGTGGAACCTAATCAACAAAACAAGCAGGCAAAATATAACCAGAGACATTGAAATTAAGAACAATCTGTGAGTAACCAGAGGGGAGGTGGGAGAGGCTAATTGGGGGTAGGGGTTAAGGAGGAAAGTGTTTTCAGGAACAACTATAAGGGACACACAGACAAAACCAAGCGGGGGATAGAAGTAAGGGAGGGGAGTGGAAGTAGGAGAGGGAGGTGGACATGGCTGGGGTCGGGGAATATACAGACAACTGTACTTGAACAACAATAAAATAATTTTTTAAAATTTAAAGAATATAAACAACAAAACTCAAAATATATATGTGTGTGTGTGCGTGTGTGTGTGTGTGTGTAAAACCAATAGAAATTTCAAGAAAACAGGAAAAAAATACTCTTTCCAGATATGGGCAAAACTCCTCCACAAATTAACAACCATTACTGCTTTAAAAGATTCCTAACCAGGGGGAGAGTCTCAAAGAGATCCATGGTAGTGCCAACAACCAGTGTAGTACAGCCAATCCTATTTTAAAAGTGGAACACTCCCCCAAAAGGAAAAATAACATTCAGCTCTAAGTTACTGTTACTATAGCAATAAGCCACTGTTTTTTTCCGTATCTGCCAAATATTTAATAGAAGACATAATGTTTCAGTAAAATCTTTTGAGTTTGTATTTAGTAAAAAATTTAAATTTCCTTAAAATACCAGACAAGTGAAACAAAGACCAATATATCCAGCTTTTGAGATTTAAAAATAACATACCTAAGATCTTGAACACTTTCACCAAGTTTTTCCAAAAGAAATTTTATATCTTCACTGATATCTTCATCATCGTACTTTTGCTGTTCCAAGTTCTCCAATTGTTTCAGAACTTTGCACTGAATCATAGCCAGAGCATATTCTTGGCGAGTTTCTCTTTCAGTTGATTTTTCTAAAAAGTTCTGGTTTAGACAAAGATATAATTTGTTACATGATGTCCTCTGACCTCTGCACATCCTTTTTGCACCCACTCTCCTCCTCCTATTGATAGGTTAACTATCACCTTTAAGTGGTTGACTATATTGCAAATCTTTACTTCTTTCCTAAGCATCTGTCTATTATCAGAAACATACTTCTGATTCCTTGCTTACTTACTAGCTTACTAAACATTTTATTTTTTTAAGATTGTATTTATTTATTTTTAGAGAGGGGGTAAGGCAGGAAGAAAGAGAGGAAGAGAAACAAAAATGTGTGCTTGCCTCTTGCGTGCCCCTTGCTGGGGACATGACCTGCAACACAGGCACATGCCCTACTAAGAATTGAACCTGTGACCCTCTGGTTCACAGGCTGGGACTCAATCCACTGAGCCACAACATCCAAGGCAGCTTATTAAATATTTTAAATTACTGACCCAAACAAGCCTCAAAATACTGAACACTGGGTAACTAATATCACAATCCTTTCTCACAGCCTGCTCTTCTGCACACCACAGTGAACTCTCCTCTCACTGGCTACCTAGATCACTTAGGATACTAAGAAAGAACTGTTTTTTCAAGTATTTCTTCAGTTTCCAGTCAGTAACTATTTCCCCCCTCCAATTAAACTATAAGTGCAGAATGAACAGCAATTAAAAAAAAACTGTTGATTAAACAATTGTCAGAAAAGTTTTGTGACATTCAAGCAAATTCCCTAGGTAGGTTCCTGTGATTTTAACAATTCAAATAAGTGTACCAAAATTTGAAAAAATATTTATTTTTGTAAGCAAGTTTATATTATGCCAAATAAAGAAATTTACCTTAGCATATGGCCATTAGTGTGATCAATCCCTACCAAAATGATGGCATTTTTTTACAGAAATAAAAAAAATCCTACATTTTGTATGGAACCATAATGGCCCCAAATATTCAAAACAATCTTGAGAAAGAAGAACAAAGCTGCAGGCCTCATACTTCCAGATTTCAAACTAAACTACAAAGCTGTAGTAATCAAAATTATATAACAATGGCATAAATAGGCACAAAGACCAATGGAACAGAAAAGAGCACCTAGAAATAAGCCCCTAGCTATAGTCAACTAATATTTGACAAGGGAGCCAAGAATACTCAGTGGAAAAGAACAGTTCTTCAATAAATGGCATTAGGAAAATTGGATAACCACATGCAGAAATATGAGATTGAACCACTACCTCATACAGCTAATAATAATTCACTCTAAATGGATGAAAGACATGAAACTGTCAAACTCCTAGAAGAAACACAGAAAAACCTCTTTGGCATTGGTCATGGAAACAATATTTTATATGACCACCAAAATCAGAGGCAACAAAAGTAAAAGTCAACAAGTAGAATTACATCAAACTAAAAGCTTCTACATCCAAAAGAAAGAATAAAATGAAAAGGCATCCTACAAGATGGGAGAAAAATATCTACAAACAATATATTTGATGAGGGGGTTAATATCCAAAATATATAAAGAACTCATACAACTCCATAACAAAAAAAGGCAATTAAAAAACAGGCTAAGGATCTGAATAGAGATTTTCCAAAGGAGACATTCACATGGCCAACAAGTTCATTAAAAGGTGCCTAACAACCCAAAGCACCAGAGAAATGCAAATCAAAACCACAATGAAATATATCACTTCACACCTGTCAAAATGGTTATCATCAGCCTTGGCTGGGTGGCTCAGTTGGTTGGAGCATCCTCTAGTACACAAAAAAGCCGTGGATTCGATTGCTAGTCCAGGCACATACCCAGGTTGTGGGTTCAATCCCCGGTTGAGGCACATATGGCAAGCAACCAATCAAGGCCTGTTCTCTCTCTCTTCCCACCTCGACACCCATCTTTCTGAAATCAGTAAATACATCCTTGGGTGAGGATTAAAAAAAACAGCTATAATAAAAAATAAGAGATAACAAGTATTGACAAGGACGTGGAGAAAAGAGAACGCCACTGCTCTGCTAATGGTAATGGAAACTGATTACAGCCACTATGGAAAAGAGTATAGAAGTTCCTCAAAAACTAAATTAAAAATAGATCTACCATCTGATTCAGCAATTCCACTTCTGAGCATTTACTTGAAGAAAAGCACTAACCTGAAAAGATAACGTGCACCTCATGTTCACTGCAGCATTATTCACAATAATCAAGATAGGAAAACAATCTAAGTGTCCACTGAGAGATGAACATGTAAAGAAAATGGGATGTATATATTCATACAATAGAATATTATTCATTCATAAAAATGCAAGAAATCTTGCCATTTGTGACAATATGGATGGATGTAGAGGGTATTACGCTAAGTGAAGTAAGTCAAACAGAGAAAGACAAATACCATATGGCTTCACTTACATGTGAAATCTAAAACAAAACTGAAACAGAAACAACGATCGAACTGATGTTGCCAGAGGTGGGTAGGAAGGATGGATGAAGTGGAATATAGTCAATAATATCGTGGTAAGTTTGCACGGTGACAGATAGTTATTAGTATTAGTAATCATAAGGTACATAAATGTTGAATCATATTGTACACCTGAAACTAATATATTGTATACCACCTGTGCTTTAAAAAATAGATTAAAAAATAAGTCCATCCACACCAATTATTATTTAGATGCCAGTGAACTAAACATTCCAGTTAACAGAGATTACTAAAATAGAAGTTCAAAGTACACGTTCTCTAAAAGACACAAACTTTAAATACAAGACACATATAGGTTAAAACTGAAAGATGGAAAACCATAAGCATAAGAAAGCTGATATGTCTATATTAATTTCCAATAAAGTAGGCACCAAGTAAAAGAGCATTACCAATAATAAAGGACATTTCACAATGATTCAAGGACTGATTCATTAGGAAAATGTAACACAGATAAATGTTACAGTGTTTCAAAATACATAAAGCAATAATCAGCAGAACTGAAGGGAGAAACCGACAAATCCACAACAGCTGGAGATTTTAACAACTCTGGGCAATAGATAGAACCAGTAAACAAAAAAAGTTGGATCACAGAAGGTCTGAATAACACTATCAACCACCCTGATTTAATTAATATTTAGAGAAACTATACATCTGGAAGACACACATCCTTTTTAAAGTGCAAATAGTACATTCACCATGACAGACTACAAGATAAGCCATAAAACAAGTCTCAAATTTCAAAGAATTGAAACTGTGTAGAATAGTATGTTTCGCTGACCATAATGGAATACAATTAAAGATCTTAAACTGGGGAGAGACCTAAATTCTGACAGCCTCTCCCTTTACGAAACTCTTTCTGTCTCCCTTTGCTTCTGTTCTAATTTTTCTGTTACCTTTTCCAGTTACCTTTCTTCCTACTATCTCTTCTAACATCAAAAAATACCAATGCTCTTTTATTCATATGTTCCTTTGTTATTTTCATTGCCTACCTGTTGGCTAAAGAATTAAACCTCATATTTAAGATATTACCATAACTAGTGGTTTCAACTATAACCTCAACATCATCAATAAAACTGACATAGAACAACCCTATATTTTTCTGAAATTACTCTTCTCTCAATTCCCTAAGATATGACCACTTCAAAAGTTAGTCATAATTGATTCTCCCCAGTTCTTCAAACCTATGTTAAATCAATCAGTTAGCCTTACCTATTTTTCCTTTTAAATATATTTTAATTTCATCTCCCCATCTCGTTGTACACAATCAAAGGTCAAGAAACTTACTTACGAAACTGAGTTTGCCTAAAAAAAAAAAAAAAAACTAGAGAATTTGGCAACAGTATACTCTTTTATTATTATTATTATTGACATACAATATTATATTAGTTTCATATGTTCAATATAGTGATTCAACATTTTTATACATTATGAAGTGATCACCACAGTAAGTCTAGTCACCACCTGTTAACCATACACAGTCATTACAGTATTATTGACTTCTTTTCCTATTCTGTACATTACATCCCTATACCTTATTTTATAACTAGAAGTTTGTCTCTTAATCTCCTTCACCTTTTTCACCCAACCCCCTCCAGCAAGCATCAATTTGTTCTTTTTATCTGTAACTGATTGTATTTTGTTTACACATAAGTGTAATCATAAAGTATTTGTCTTTCTCTGTCCTTTAAAGACCTTAAAACTCATGCATCTTCACACAACAAAATCAAAACTGTATATATATATATATCACTTTGGCTTTTATCCAAGTAATGGTAAAGAGCAATGAGATCTTTCCCTCACCAAAACTTGTAGCCTTATAAAATACATGTTAAAGCTGAGCTTTTCAAGGTTCAGCTGTGATAAAGACCAGTTTTGTTTGTTTTTTAATTTACAATTATTCATGAATAAACTACTTTTATAAAATCCAATAAAAATGTACTTGTTGAAAAATAAATTTTAAAAGACATGACAAAAACAAGCTTAAATGTTATACTAAGTTTAACAGTCATATAATTATTTTGTCAAATACCTAACTTTCTAAATTCTTATCCTCACTTTCTATACTTATAATATTGAAGACTGCTAACCAAAAATTCAAAGCACTGCTGTGACATGTGGATCACATCTGAAGTATAACTGTATTAAAAAAACTTACCCCAAGATTAAAAACCTCTCAGTCTTACTAGATCTCATCCAAACCTCCTATCTAATGAACAATATAGAGAAATTCCTAAAATAAGGGATGAAGGATAGACCTGGGAATACAATTTCTTGGTAGAAATACTTCTGTGCCAAACCAGTAGGCAAAAAGAGTTCCCATACACTTAAACTTCATGGGCTTCTTTGAAAGGATCACGACTACCAACTGTCTGCACAGGAAGGTATAGGTATGTCCATATCTTTGTGGGTGTGTATATGTATGTGGGTGTGAATTAAACATCATGACTAATATAAGTAATGAAAATCCCATTGGTGGTATTTTTTCTAAGCCTTTCTACTGAAAACCATACAGCTGTAAAAATATCATTTATCTCATTATCT